TGTTTTACGGTGACTTACAAAGATGTTTAAGATATGAGAAAGCATGAAATATTGGAATAAAGACCAGAGAGGGTCAAAATGAGTCATGGGTCAGAATAAAATGCTTGTACATTTGCTAACCGAAGGGTCTTTGAATGTTCTGGAAATGTCAAGTCAAAATAGGATCACATGTTTAATTGCACAACAGACACTGGAGTAAACACAAAGTTTGCTCAGAAAGTACCTGAGAAGCCCTGGAGCTTCTTGAAGAAGACACTGAAGATGACAAAAACTCTGCAAAAAACATCTTCATGATCGATGTGGATAAGAGTTTCACAGGACTGAATGAACCAGAATTTACACAAACACTTCCTCTCTTATCTAAAAAACAAACAAACAAAAAATCCCAAAAAACAAACCAAAAAAAAAAAAAAACCCTGGAAATTTTAGCTAACTTTTATAATTCTTCAAAGATTTCTGCATTCAGTTTTCTAGTACCTTCCTTCATTGTCAACTCATTACAAAAGAATAGTAACAATTGAGCTGTTCTTTGTTTGAATTTTCTCAGTACCCCGTAATTTGAGCAGTCAGTATTTGGAGAGTTTCACGTAGCCTCTTGACTCACATTCCTTTTTGGACTCTCATGCCATGAAATCACACCTAACTTTAAGGAACGTCTACCCAGCGCTCAGTTTTCCCATCATTACAGCATGAAGTTGATATGCCCGTGTCCACAGGCTCTCCGGCAGATCCGCAGACGAGGCTAGCATAAACCGAAATAATAAGGTCTTTCCCTGTCAGCTGCCCATTTCAATGCCCATGTCATCAACTCATTCCTCTTTGTAGCTTGAGGCTAAGTCGAAAATAGTGTCACTTGAAAGTAGTGGATGAGGACAATAAAACATTTGTATTTATGGGACTATATAGTAATGGGAGTTTTGTCTTGAAAAACATTGGTATTATATTGTCTTCTGAAAAAGACATGATGTTCTGAGGGGTAGGGTTTTTGAAAAATACATCCCTTGACTGAGATTTAAGGTTAGGATAGAATTCTGCATCATTTGGAACATACCCTTGCATTGTCTAACACTGAGCTGCTCAGTATACTCTCCCCTGACTCCTCCTTGGCTTGTTCCTCTTCTTCTCCTTTGGATCTCATCTTGAACACCGGCTCCTCAGCTAAGCCTTCTCTGTCTACTCCATGCTGGCAGCCCCACCTTTGGTTTTTCTTTACTTATTTTAATCACCAATCTCTCTGCTGGATAAAAGCGCAGTGATGGCAGCCGCTTATCTCGCAGTCTCAGGATCTATCTAGATCAGGGCTTGGTTCATAGTAGAAGGCACCATAGCCATTTGCTGGAAAGAGTAGGGGCTCCATTGATGACTGCAGAGTTGGGACCTGAGAGGCAGGCGGGTCCATTTCTACACAACAGAAAGACAGTGGGGACTACAGTGATATTAGGAGTGATTCGCAGAAGCATGTGGGGGAAGAGAGAGGAATCCTGAGTGAAAAAGCTCATTTTATCCTTCCTGATAACCAAGCCATTCAGATGATTTGAGCTTATGAAATTTAGAATTTGATTGCCATGTACCTCAAAGGAAGGAAAAATGGGTCATGCCATCCTTGGTAGAAAGTGCAGGAAGCATGGAGATAGGCAGAAATTTCATTCAATAGCCTCCAAGCAACTCGCCTCCACTTCCTTAAGGTGCTACATCTGCACAGATTCCCCAAGATGGCAGCTCAGGATGTCACCCTGCAGAGTGCCAAGGACCAAAGCCTAAGTTTAACAATAATCAGAGTCAGCTTTTCAAATGGTTGGAAGAAATGGGAAACAGAGTTCAAGGTTTAGCAAGAAGAAATGTCTAGGAGAACAGGAAGGAGGCACCCAGAATTTGTCAACACAGGTCCAAATATGGAATAAGACAAAAACAAGGGCAGGAAGATGGAGCCAGAGAGTGAGGAAAAGCAGATGAATCTGATTGGGAGAAAGAATGCGACAAAGCTATTTCCCCGTCACCTTGTCCGATTGTCCAGGCTCTCTCCAGTGGGTCTGAGGAAAGTGCACTGCAGTAATAAAGTGGAGTGAGTCACAGCCGCTATTTTTAACACACTGTTCGGCTCCTCTCTGCTCTGCTCAGCCCAGCCCTTTGCCAGGCCCAGGACCTCTAGGCTCCTGTGGGACTGCAGGGAAGGGGCTGGTGGCGAGACAGCAGGCACACAAGCAGATGAGCCAGCGGCCACATGGCGAGAGAAGACCCACAGACCGGAACTCCCTACTCCACCCTGACTGCCAAGAACACAGGGCTTCAGATGAAGGGGCCCAAGACAAGATCGCTGAGAAAGGCTATGAAAAGAGCTTTTCAGAAAAGGATGTTTGGAAGTGTTTCCATTGTTTAGGTCACCTTTTGGCCAAAAAAAAAAAAAAAAAAAAAAATCATGTGAGCATGTTACTCAATCTTGGAAGTGCTTTTATAACTTGTTTAAAACTTTCCAAATGAAGAGTTTGAGTGCTTTAAAATCCTTGGTTTGCAAATTTAAAACTCCAACATGTTTTGATTAGTTTGTAATAGTCTGCCATCAGAGAAGATGGAAATTTTCTAGCCAGATTTCAACAAAAACCTTTGCATAATTGGGGAATCAAAGCAAGTTTATGAGCATCATGACTTAACGTGACCAGCAGTGCCTTTCCTCCCTTTAGAATTATTAGATTTTGGAAGCCACCTTTTTCCAGCCATGACAGTGCATTAAACCAACCATTGATCTCAGCTAAACTTAGAAACTGACATGTGAATTCCTATATCTTAAAACAATATTTAAAATAAAATGTTTATTGTCCTTAAAAACTTTTTTTATCATTAATATCTTTAAATATTTTGCCTTTTAAAAGTTCTATTTTATAATAAAATTTAGTTATGTACTACACTTTAAAATATATGTATATACACAGTGATATAAATTCAAACACTTTGCTAATAAGGGTTTACAACGAAAACAATTTATTATTCACTTTAGAGATATGAAGGCAGATATCTATGAAGCCTAGATACTAAAATATTCTTATTTTTTATCAGTTTCAAATTGTCCAGATAATGAATGCCTGTGGCTGCTCCATATCATAATTCATCTTTCTCTAATCATTTCTAAAGATGGAAACAAAAAACTTTACATAATGGAAGCTTTCCCTTTTATAAAATCAAAGGCAATTCTGGATTAATTAGCTTTCTAAAAACATTATAATGCAAGGGTTTTTTAAAAAGCCTAAACGCAAAAAGGAAATGGCTGTCAAGAACAAACATCATACCCTATCAACCCAGACCCTCTTGTGTTGGTACTCCTTCCTCTGCCTGAGTCTGCACATAGGGCTGGGCTGCAGAGACCCTGGGTTTAAGTCATAATAAACAAAGGCCCCCGGAGACCACCCAGTTCAGGAGGGAACCTGATTTGGGCTCCCCGCTATACAGATCACCCTTGTGAAAATGAGACAGATCTTTCCTTGCTTTGAATCTTGATGTCCTCAGAAATGACTCTCAAAACTCACGCAATTAAAGCTGGGTGGTGTCGGCTATTAGGCAGTCGGGAGACTGGGATCCACTCTGATCCTGTAGCTAGGCATTAGGTGATTTTGAACCTCTCTTCGCACCTCGCTTAGCTTTTTCCTCTATAAAATGAGGTGGGATGTTTTTCCAGCATGAAGAAGAAGGTTCCCTCCAGCTTCTACAGTCCGATTGTTCCGAGGCATTCCAAACCCTTAAAGCTGAGTTTCGCTTTGTAAAATGACTCATAGACGTGCATGCTCCTTCAAATTAACCTGGTTTAATTTTAAAACCTGGTGGTTTGTAATGTCATCTAAGTTAAGCCAGAACTGCCTTTCCCATAGTCCCCTTCCCTGGCTGGTTGAAGGCTGGCATTGACTCAAAGATGTGCTTGTGTGAGGATTGGAAGGCAAAAGTGAAGCAAGGACTTATTTTGCTCTGAAGGTCATCATCACAGGCAAATACGGCGACTAACAAACACAGAGGTGCCTGTCCTGGTTCTTCTCTGCTCCACTTCCTTCTTCTCTTCCCAAGTGTTGGCCTTGAGTGTTGACCTGGGGTGGGGGGCAAGGCAGGCCCACCACTAGGCACTTGGCTGTAAATACACAGAAGTGGCCACTACATGGCAGCACAGCTTCCCAGAGCTCCCTGCACACCACCTTGCCCAGGTCCACTTCAGCCTTGCATTTGGCTTCTCAGACGGACTAGCTGGTTTGCACACCTCTTTCTGCAAAATCACTTCTCAGCTCCTCACACAGTGGTTTGGGGTCTAATTCCTGTAACAAATCCTACATCCCACAGCAATCAGAGTAACTCTTCTCCCCTGACTCACCAAACCAAACACACAAATCCCCAGACATTATTGTTCTATCTACATGGAACTCCAAAGGCGGCCCAAAACTGAATGTTTGGCAGAGAAGACATTTGTATACATGTTTTCTAAGTCATAGTGTATTTCCTGAAGGCCTATAATGTCCCAAGTCAAAGAGAGCACAAATGGTATCAAAAAAAAAAAAAAAAAAAAAGATAGTATGAAACTTCCTGACAAGGGAATATATGACAAAACTTGTGTGGTTTAAAAACGTGCCTCTGCGAATCTTCATGCAGTGATGCAAGTTGGTTCAAGTATTTTTCTTTCCCTGGCTAAGTCACAAGCTGAGGCTCTGTCCAACCTATATATCCATAGGCTCACGTCGACAGTCCCCTCTGCTCAGTGCAATCTCCTAACAGCACTCACTGGCACATACAACTGATGGAGCTGGTCTCATTGGTGCCACATTCATACCCCGTGTAGAGGTGTTATACATAACAAGCACTTGGGTAGCAATACTAAAAACACAGGATGCCGATACTTTGAATGATTTCACTGATGGTTAGGTAATATTCGCACTTTGACCTACAGGTGTTCATGAGGTGTCTCTTCACTCCAGGGCTGAAAAGCAAAAATCCAAAGTTAAAAAAAAACAAAACAAAACCAAACACCATAAAAGTGTGCCCATGAATTGTTTTATTGCTTTCCTATTTAATGCAGTCAATGTTTTGAGTAATGGTCATAAGATGTCCAAATTTCAACATTATTAAACATTCGAACAGTAAAACATGGAAAGAAGCACTCAAATGTGAACTTCTTCAAGTTATATCTGGTGGGACCACTTGAGATAAAGGCTACTGGGCTCGTCATCTTGGTTTATGAAGAGAACTGCTATCCTCTGACACGGGGAACAGGAGAGTCCCAAATGTCGACCAAGTGTTTAGGCACTGGAGGCAGCACATTCGACTCCCTCTGAAATGTCTGGGGAGATTTATATTGACTCCAAATATGAAAATCCTTCCTTTCACCTCAAGCTTAAAAGTGACGCCCACGACTGAGAGTGTCAAAAGAAACTCCTGTGGAATAGAAGATGTGGTTTCAGTGATAAAGACCAGAAATGATTCTGCTGTCAAGAAAAGTGACATGTGCCCACACAGTTCTCCTCTAACTCGTCCTTTGTAAGAAAACCACCTGTTCTGAGAGAGCACATGGCAGAGGCCAGACACAGTGACCAGATGAAACCGCAGCAACCGTGAGCGGCTTCTTGCTTGTTGAAGGCACAGGGTCCTCATCATCCTGAGGCGGGGGTGGGGGTTGCTGTGTTGTGAGTTATGTTCAAAACATACATCCTACCTCCAAAAAACTGCTCTCAGCTACCATACATTTGATTGTAATTTTAGGCTGATCTCTTTTTTGAAAGTCCCAGAATCTCTGGCATCCCTAAATAGCCTGATGTGGCCTGCTACTTCTGCAAGGAATCAAATTCCCAAGGGGTGGAGACTCACAGGGACACACAGCTGCATTACATCATATATCAGGCAAAAATAAATACACGACTCTACAACATGGATATGAAACACCATAAAGAAATAAATATCTCAGACACTATAACTGCAGGTCGCATGCTAGCAATACCTGGTAGAGTCTAAAAAATGGTGATTTTCCAATAAAACATTTATCTACAATGACTCTGATCAATGCTTAAGGGCTAAGCAAAAAATGTATGAAAATACTATTTTTTTAAAAAAGAAATTTCATTAAATACCAAAGATAGTGATCAAATTTAAGATGTCATATTTCAATAAATCACTTTTGATCTTTCCTGACAGTCACCTTGGCCTTCCATAACAAAAACGGACAAAGGGCAAGTGTACGCCCTGCCAGTGATGCTGAGGGTGCAGTCACACCAGCCCTCCTTGGAAAAACGACGGACCCTCATCTTTGCCAGAGGAATCACCTTGGGCCCTTCCAGCTTCTGAAATTCCACCGTATTATAAATGCTCTTTACAAACACAGTGATACGGAAAAAGGAAACATAAAGGTGTGTTTATTCGTGTCCGTGCCATCTAAATCTACTGACTACAGCAATTAGAACTGGAGAAGGGACCAACTGGAACCTAAACAACAACAACGCCGGGACGTTCGCGCCCATGAATTGCAAGTTTTAGTTCAGAAGAACCTGCATGCTGGCAAGCCAGTTTCGTCCCTGAGAAGCATGCTTCGTGCTTCCTTCTCTCCCTCCAGCATCTTCCGTCTCTCTCAATTAAGGCCTGGACAGTGTCAGGATGGTGTCACAGCGTCTCCTCCAGAGCCATGCCCTGGCGAGGTGCTGTCCCCTGTGCTGTCAGTCGCCTGTGGGCTTGGGCTGGGTGAGGTCAGGCTGTGGAGCAGTCAGCTCTGCAGTCGGCCTCTGAAGCTCTTCCACCGTCTGCAGCAGGGCTGACCTCTCCAGCTCTAAGGCAAGGGTGGCCTGCTTCAGCTTGCTTTCACTGCTCAGAAGCTTCTCAACTGTGGCTTCGAGGCTTTGAATCCTACTATTTGCCACCTAAAGAATAAAAGAAAAAGTGAGAATATAATTGCCCAGTGATGACACAGGAGGATCCACTGTACGCTCTGCTGTCTGGACTTGGGGACACCGTGGAGCCATATTTTAGCAGAGAGGCGTCTGCTGTTTACTATCAGTTCTTCTGGCCACACAGGAAGACTACATTTCCTAGGTTCCCTTGCAGGCAAGCTGGGCCACCCTGAGATCCTCCAGCATTTTCCTCCCCTGTTGTGGCTACTATGGAAGCTATGAGTTGAGATGGTGGCTTCACAATGCAGAGGGAGCCCAATCTCCAAGTCACCCACTACAGGGACGGCAGCTCTGATAGCGCCAAAGGATGCTACGTGGAGAAGACATATAGCTTTGGGGACAAAGAGATTTCTGTTTTGCTAAGCCACTGAGATTTGGAGCTTATTTATTTCTACAGTACAGCTTGGCCTATTTTAACTACTACATATATTTAAAGGTACAAACTGATTTCATACTGACAGTCAATATGGATTCCATGTAAAGGCCCAAGTAGTAATAGCTCTCTAATCAGAAATTCTTATTATTTTCCTTATAGTAACAAGACATCACTAGGTCAAAGAACATGGGCATTTTCCCTGAACATGGGTGAAGTGCTCAGAACATCCGCGTGTTCTGCTAAGTGGCTCATGTGCAAGGTCTAGTCACCACTGCCATGGAGCCAAGCAGTGTCCTTATGTCCACCTGGTCTACATCCTCTGTACCAAATTATTGTCCGGTAGGTAGAACTTCCAGGTATTTCTCTCTCTAGTGCACTCAGGCAGGCTTCCCAGGCAACGAGTGAGCTGGCTCTAGCGAATCTGAGGGGCTTCCTGTGAAAGCCACAGAAACCCCGGCCTCTATATTGCCATCCCACAGGTCTTTCTGGCCTGTGCCTTAGCTCACGGCTACATTCTGTGTGTTGCAGTCACTGAGTCACTGAGGCACTGCTCTGTCTCGTTAATACAGTCCAGCCCTCCTCTCTATGTCCCCATTTATTTTAGATGGGGAAAATGGTGTGTTTGTGTGTGTGTGTGTGTGTGTGTGTGTGTGTGTGTGTGTGTGTATATCTCATAAATACATACATATATATATATCTCATAAA